TTGACCGGTGGATCGCATCACAATACAGGTCGGGAGTTCCGGGCGGGGCGTACCAATCTAAGCTGGGAAGAAAGGGGAGAGGGGGAGCAGAAAGGAGAAAAGAGAAGAAACGAAAAAAACGGAACCCGGTAAGACAAACCTCCACCCTAGATACTCTACCGGTGCTATACGTATAGCATGATATAGACAATCTCCAGAACCACCAGACATCACTCACCCTGCTAACAACCGGGTAATAGATTCATAAGCAGACCCACCTCTCCCGCCTTTCCCCTGCCTTACCCCCCCGCCTTCCCCCTCCATAAATAACATGCTATGATACCACATGCTCTACCGCTCCAACAACCACACCCCTTCTTGATCCCGCTGCTCGCCATCTCGCGGTGCATACCTCTATAATCACATGTGTGTTCCCGACCGGGCGTGACACTGTTAATTTGGCTACAAGTGAGGTTATTCTCCCTGCATCGGGTGTCGTTGGGTGATGGTATCCGGTTTACGTCAAGAATCTTAATTTCTGCCCGCTGATTTGCTTGCCCGACCCGCATCATCTACTGTTTTCCCGGTAGGGAACTTATGCTTCGGCGAGGATTATTGTGTTTGGGTGGATTGCCCGCGAAGTCCTCTTCAGAGGACCGGGCAAGGGAGGGGGTCGTGGATAGATGTATGGGTTGTGGCGGAGTGCAGTGAGGTATCATACCGCACACTAAGAGAGTTCTGCCTTAACCGGAATGGCTTTGTTGAGGCATTCATTGGCGTAACCTCGAGATTTCTGGGAGGCCTGTGAGAGCTTTGTGAATACATTAGCAACGCTACTTGCCTGGAAGTACGTATGTATAGAGTAGCATTGGTATTTCCCCTCCCATAGAAACCAATTGAAGGATAGCACATCATTTGCTTCAAATCCCCCTTCCTCACGATCCATTTGTTTTAACCAATGGATAAGAAAACAAAAGAGAGGGAGGCAGAGAAAAAAAGTTTCACCATTGTCACAAAGTTGACCAAATTAGTGTCCAAACATTACAAAAATCACCACCATCATGGCGGCGAGAAAATCAAGGTTTCCTCTTCAATGTTAATCAAGAACAACCTTCCCATCCTCGTCCACAAGCCGTCTATCCTTGCCCCCATCTCCCATCCCCCCACCCCCAGTATTCCCATTAAGCCCCGTTAAAGGTGGTGTACAGTACTCGTCCTGTGTACCGGAGAATCGTATAGCTGTGGATTGGGTGTTCAAGCGTTGACAGGAAGGGAATTTTATCTACTCGATGGTTGAGGGGGGTGAGGTGAATGGATTGGAATGAGGGAATATCTACCGTTAAAGAGTATGCTCCCGCAATTGGCAGGTCTCCGTCCTGGACGTCTCAAGGATTGACCACCGCTTCCTCCAGGGCCTGTGGCATTCAGGCCCTGAATGGTCGCGATCTTCGCACCGGTTATGATGTATTCGGGCCCCAGGCCTGGCCGAATTCGAGGGGGATAGTTTCACGCAGTCTTGCCCGGGGGGTCCTGCAATTGCCGGGCATTGGGAGATTTGCCGGAAGCCACATATAAGGCTTGATCAGCCTAGTCGGCAGCGGCCTGCTGCACTCGGGAGATTAATGTTTGGCGTTTACGCTCGTGGTAGAGTTCCTATGCAGTGTCAGCACGGGGCCTCTTATGGGGAATGGCAAATGTGAGTGGCGAGTACCGGTATTTGTACCAGCTTCCTCGCTGTCTCTCTCCATCCCCGCACCAACTCTTGATTCTTGCTTACTTTATCCTCAGCAAGCCCCATTCTACCACTTTTGGTACGCGGCGCTGGTATTTCAGCATCAGCACGGCGAACAATATTCTCGTTCTCCCCTCGAATCTCAGATTACCGTGTTCATAAGGGTTTTGCAACCTGTTCTTGAAAAAAAATCTAGGCCATAGTCAATACCTCGCCTGAGAGTGGGAATGGGTCTGACGCCGATATTTACTTGCTCACCTGATAGGTCTAGAGGGTGAGCACACGAGTGCGGATTTCTATTGTGGAACTGGGACTGAGTCCATTGAGAACACAAGTCTTGTAGTCGTTGCTCGGATTTGGAACCGCGATCACGGGGTCATCAGGCTTAGAGAGTGCGGTGCTGTAGGCCGGATGGGTTCGCTGATCGTTCGGAGGAGGCTCGATAAGCTGAAGGGCAGTGGCACATGGTAGGCGGTAAATGTGACTAGAAAAGGTGAGGAAGAGTGAACCAACATCAGGGCTGTAGATGGATGAATGGCTCCAAGAGCGGGGCGGGTATGCTGGGGGATTCAGTATGTAATCGGGAAACCATTTCTACCCGCCTCACGCGAGGGATATTCCCTACGGAGACCCGGGTGCTTTTCGTGGCGCTTACCCCCACGCCGGAGAATTGGTCCAGTGGCCTAGGTTGCGATATCAGTGAATTTAACTGCAATCCAGCGGCTGGAGCGGTATCAGGTGTTTGTCCTAGTGGATCAAGAGGATGAATACCTGCAAGTGGTGACAACAGCACAGCCATCCGTTTGAGCTCGGGGCCAGAGGTGGCTGCAGCGGGGGACAAATCCATCCATTCTAACGTAATATTCAGGCCAAAGAAGATGAGGGTTGTGAGGATGATGAGGGTGATGATGATCGGGTACATTGTGAGGAAGAAAATAGATGCTGTTGCAGAGACGGGGAACTACCACCGTCGAGCATGTGGAGCACTGCGGGAGCCTGATGACGACGCATCCCCGTACTTTCAATGGAGTGGCGCATCCAATCATCAGTTTCATTGATCATGAAAGGTTTTAGGGTCCCAGGATTAGGCCGAGCCCCGTAGCCCACGGTGTCAACCCGGTGGAAGGTAAAGGAGAAAACAAAGAAGAAGCAGGCAAAACAAAACATCAGAGCATAGCATGTATAGTATCATACTCTGGTGTGCTGAGGGATATTCTGGTGCTCCATCTTCCTCTCCTCCATCCGCGGGCAGCCAAAGTCGATTATTACGATGGTGGTTAGTTCAACCAAGAAGCTATTCCTACGCACATCCCGCCATACCGTGTTGGAGTAATCCGTACCAGGATAGAATTCCGTCCATACCCTCGCGGGGAATATGTGCTTATTCTGCTTGCACCAGCGACGATCCACCACTTTGGTCAAGTCATCCCATTTGGGGTTCTGAGTACAGGTCAGGGGGGTGGGCGATAGCGGTGAAGGGGATGTCGAACAATAAACCGTTGGGCTCCATTCGGCGATTGGCGATGGGTATTAGAGTCCAGACAGCTGTCGAGTGGGTTAGCGATTACTGGGGGAGGAGGTGGGAGGGGCGGGAGATGTACGTGCGGTATTATCACTTCCCGGCAAACCAGTAGTCAGTCAGCCGCCGATGCTCTGAGCCACTCGCTTCGTCCAGCCATTCTCGGAGCACGTTCAGGAAATAGCCATATAGCCCGGCCCGTCCGGCCCGTCACGGCTTCTCTGGTTGGCGGCGCGACATTGGTACCCTGTAGGTGTTAGCTTTGGGTCCACTCCCGAAATCCGAGTATTAATAACACCTGCCATCATAAAAGACAAACGGAATGCAAATCTCTTCGTTGTTAATCCTCTCCTTGTGGCCGAAAACTCCCTCCTCAACGTCTCCCGTTCCCGAGCCTCCCTCAAAAGAGTATTCTTCGTCAAGCCCTGCGGAGCGGCGGCCCCAATTTCGGATTCACCTTCCGTTTCTCCATCTCATCCTCCTCCTTGCCCTTCTTGTTATCCTCGCTATAGGGCCTCGTTAGATGGGCGTGTGAATGATCGCCGCCATCATCTGTGCCATTATCCCGAGTACCCTCCCCCCGCGAATGATAATTGCCCCTTGGAAACCCTCCTACGCTTCTCCGTTCTCTTGCCGCCGCCGCCATCGGTGGGCGCCTCCCCGGCCCCCGCTGGTGCGCATCTGTTGTAATTTCCCGGCAGCCTCGCGGCCTCGCTGTTCCATCAGCTCCGCGCTACGCTCCTGCAATTCAGTTATATGCACGAGGCCGACGCTTTGGGTCGTCAGAAAGTCCTGAAGCTTTTCGGTGGTGGCGACAAGGGGCGAGGGTGTGCCTGCTGGTGATGTTGATAGAGAGGGAGATATCGACGCAGTGAGGGAGGATGAAAGGGGCTCAGCGAGTGTGCACTCTAGCTAGGGATGTGACACGTGGACCAGGGTTTCGTTGTACTCGTCATAGGCCATAGTCTAACCACCAGAAAACAAAGATTGAAGAAATATATTGGCAAATCGTTTGTGCCTATCTGAGTGCCCATCGAAAAACATGCCTGTACGTTGGTTACCAGGATTTGGATACGACTTGTAGTTAGGTTGCTACGAATTTTTGAAATTAACCTGCATTATACCTCGTTTTCTGGTACTTACATCTTGGGAAAAGGAGCTCTCACATCTGTTCCTCTGGCACCAGTCAGACTACTGGTGGCCGGGTGATTGAGAGGGGGAGAATGAGGATTTAAATCCCGCTAGCTTCGCTGTTGCCTTCCAAATGCCCTAACCACAAACAACTGCACAAAACACTCCACCAGCATCTCCACAACCAGCTCCTATTTTCCCTTCATCGTACATCGAACACACAATGCGGTTTGTTTCAGAAACCCTATAGTTTTGAAACATCCCCTTTATCACCTGCGGGTCATTATATTTTTCCGAGTTCAACCCCAGGAGCAGGGAACTACTTATTGTCTTTGTCGCAGCTGCTGGAGCTAATTGGATAGTAGTCGCAAACAGGAGGCCGATATGGGAGGATCGTGGAGGCTGTAACCGAGAGCGAGAGATTCTGGAGACACAGATCGCGGGACAGGATACGCCAGCTGAGGACCGCACATGCACCAGTGTCGCGAAAGCGATGAGACTTTACCGGGCAAATGCGAGTAGCTAGCTACTGTGGAGGGGCTCCAAGATTTGAGTGTCCTTTCGGCATTCTGACCACTGTCGGGGGGCGGCTAGGGTGGTTCTGGTGGTAGTGTGACTGAAATGTACGTTTTTATTATTAATATTCTGTTCGGGATGGCAGCATTTTAGGGGCAATGGGTGCTTGCGGTTAAGGTTTGCAAGAGGGAGAGTTTGCTGCGGCAGTCATAGCTTATAAACAATTCTCCAATGACACTTGTTGAGGGATAGTGTTGACAATATTGTTTACAAAAGCTTGATAACGCTCGCACCAACGCGAACGAAATCTTTTTCACACCACACCACGATTTATATCCTGCTTAGCAAAACTTCAGTTCTCACACACCTGGGACACGTGACCCGCCCCACAGCAAGAACAGTTCGGATCCTGGCTATGCTATGATAGTAAGACCTCCATAAAATGGGTAGAGGTTGCGGATGGGTGCCATCCTCCGATCTGCTCCTAGCAAACTGGCTCCGACAAATAAGTCTTCGTACGGCCATTCTTGGCCAACATCTTCATTCGCAGCACTCTCACGAAAACATCACGAATGTCCAGCAAGACCACAGTGGGAGCAGGCGTCGCAAAAGCTGCAGGCACCAAACATACAGGGGACGACCAGACACAATAGGAAATAAGCGGTGAAAAGGAGGAAAATGTTCAAACACTTCCTCGATACACGGGTATCTCATGCATGTACTCTAATTGACAATCCAATAGTAAGATTGTTGAGGCTTCCTAGGGTGTCGGAGCCGTCTAGTCCTAAGACCTTCTCGCGTCCCGCAAGTGCATCGCGATGCAGCCTTTCTGATTCAACGTAATTTCCCTGGCGTCGCAGCACGAAAGCCTGGTTGTCGCCACTCGCCAGGATATCTGGGTGGTACGGTCTGAGACCATGTCACGCCACTCGAATGCGCGCCGGTTCATCATCTCCGACTCAGGGTGCCCTCTATGGTATCGCAGCGCTATAGATAGGTTAATGGTACTGGTTATTGTGTCTTGGTGGTTAGGTCTCAGAGCCCTATCATGCACCTCGAGTGCACGTCGATTTCATCTTCACTGATTCCTCGTACTTTCCATGCTGACACATCACATCTGCCAGGTATGATAGGATAAGCACACCAATGCGTCAGAATCGGTTGGACCCAACGGCCCCGCAAGATTCTCTAGCACATTCCGAAGTATCTTCTCTTGTTCCTTTGCCCTTCCTTGGGATGCCCTCACGTTCCCCAGGAGGTTAAATCTGCTATATCCATTATCCAAGGTTTGCTCCGTATTGTTCTGGCCAAACGTGATACATCGACAGATCTGTGTTTCTGCATTGTTGTAGGAACCTGAATGCAGAAAGTACTCTCCCATGTGAAAACAAAGATCTTCTGCAACATTATCCCTTGTACCTTTGGTAACCGCAAGTGCATGTAGAATGTGCTCCTCGCAAATATCGCGCAGCTCATGCTCATCTCTAGAGAACATTCGGGAAACCAGGCCTAGTTCCGTGGCACCCTCTGTATCCAATTCTTCTGTTGACAGATAGGCATGTATCAGTAGCTGGAGTAAACGGTGTAGCGAACAGATGGTCTTGTCCTTACTCTTGGTGGCCGTAACCAACGAGAATCCCAGTAGTTTGGCGATCCCGCGACGAAATTGGATAGAACCATGCGGCCCGCCGACGCCACATTCCCGCAGGAGATCATCGGGTATCCCCTAGACTGCTGAGACATTCAGCCCCGTTTAAAATGCTGAACACTAGCTTATTTCGGTAACCGTGATAGGAAAAACTTCACGATCAAACGGTAGTGTAGTGCTCGGAATACCACAGAATCCGTACGGCTCAGCATGGTCGTGACGAAGATGACTGAATACGCGTAGGTTAACTCCCGATTACTCAAATAGGCTAGTGTTCCACATTTTAAACGGGGCTGAATGTGTCAGCGGTTTAGGGGATACTTTGACGATCAACGAAGGCGATCAGGCACAGGAGATGTTAGGCTGTCGGCATCTGTTTTGTTATTCGGTCCAAGGTGATGAATTATGTGCACAAAATACTTTCAGTCCCGTCAGACTCTGGGCGGATATCGCTAAGCTGCTCTGACAGTAACTCCTTCATCTGCTCGTCAGTCTCCCGGGAAATAGTCCAGTCCTCGGAGGGTGGTATTTCCGTCTGGCCACGGATGCTGCAGAACCTACGACGGCCAGCGGCAAGCGATCCAGTATGACTAGGATCACCGGAACCATCCCTCCTTCCCCATCTCCCAATCCTCGCCAGCTACCCAAGTGTTTCGAAAATAACGCTTGGGCCTCCCCCTCCTCCACTTTTCCCACCTTAATCCTCTCGCAGTCCGAGGGGAATGCAACCTGGCGAGATCTAGTGGTGAATATCCGTGTACCTCTAGGCCCTTGTGGTATTAACTTCGAAATAGGACTGTTATTGCCAGAAAAGTCCTCCTCGTCCTTATCGGCATTGTCAATAACTAGAATCCAATCACCACTACCTGGACCGCCAAACCATGTCTTTCTGCTCAATAAGAACCCCTCTTCCATCTCAGCACTCGGTACATGAATTCGGATGTGTTGGGCAATAGCGCTGAAGCCCTCCCTAAACTGTAACATCCCACTTCCTTGCACCCGGCAAAGATCTCAATCGCTCACACCTGTGGGCCGATACGAGCATTCGAGGGCAATCTGGGGTTTCCAGAGCAATGTCAGTAAATCATTTCAGATACCAAATGAATGACGAGATACCCAGAGCCGCATAATACATGCAGAGGTGATCCGATTGTGGCCATCCGGCTTGCAAAACGTCTTCACCGACACAAGGAGATGTTCCCGAGCTGTGAATTTGCTGTTCCTGCTGTAGGGAATTATCCAATAAGGCCTCAATGCTTCTGTCGCTTACAGCATCATATTAGCTTCCTGCCGGAAAACCCTCGGGAATGCTGATCCTACCTCTATCCCCAGATCTGAACCCGCATCCTTGGTATACAGTACCACAATTGGCCGCATAATTCATCTAACCCTTTCTTAGGTCATTATGATTGTAGCTCCCACAAACATTGTGATCCCCTGAATTCCCGTGGAATTGCGCACTCATATTGGCTTGGTTTTTCCTGTAAATATCCTTAGATAACCGCTTTATTTTTCTTTTAATTAAATAAACATTAAAGGAAGGGTATACTCACTGGTCCACCGTGTCTTGGGCTCACCCTAGGGCTGCGTTCGATAGTCGGATATGAA